AACTACTGAGATGTTTAACTTTACTTGAATAATCGTTTAATTGATTAGGAAAGTAATTACTCTAAATGGCTGCTCAGTTGTCATACTGCTCTTAAAGACAGATTATTTCCCCCTTAAATATATTGAGTATTACCAAGATTAGTTCTGCTGATGTCACGAGGTCCAATTGTGACGTGAGTTACTATCATGTGAAGGAAGGTGGAAGGCTGAACCCTTTGATCCAGTTAACCAATACCTTGGATTGATCTGCAGGTTAATGGAAATTAAAATCTCAAAGAAATGCCTTTGGTACCAGATTTCAAATATTTCTTTCAGATGGAAAGATTGTAGCTAAGGGCATATACTGCAGCTTTACCTGAGCTTAGGTTTGAGTCATAAAGAAACATATTCAAAGGCAGGACCACTTAAATGCAGCTCCAGTCCTTCCAGCAGTGCTTGACAAAGTGCACTATGTATGCAGAGGGACGTGTGAGCATATTTGTTTTGATGGATGTTGTACTGTCATTATTGAAAAATGAATTTTTGTTCTCTTCCAAATACTTAAATTCCATAAGAACTCATAATTTTCCAGTGCTCTAAGTTCACTTTTCATTGTCATTCTTGTAATTTGCTAGTGTTCTTTAAACCAGCCTTAATTTTCATGTGACTGCATGTGTTAAGTATTGTCTGAAATAGAAGGCACAAGAATTTTAGGTCACCTATACTACTGCATTTATTATAGAACTACACGTGCATATTTAAATGACCCTAAATTAGTTTTCTATTTCTGTCACACACATTTGCAATTTCTAGAYGAGAGAAAATGAATCACATAGTACAGATTGTATCTATCTATAGTTAACAAGAGCTTTACTTACCCATAAAAGCTGTAGCTCTCCAGAATGGGGACAATAAAGAATAGCTGATCTGTACTGTGAGTCTGTGTCCTTTACAGCTACCAAGCTGTGAATAAGGGGGAATATTTTATGGCTTTCAGGCTGATGAGCAGCCCACAGCATGCTCACTCGCTTTCCTCCTCCTGCCTTTTTCTGTGACCCTGCTCTTCAAATGCATCTAATACTCCATAATTACTTAATCCTCCACCACTGCTTTTGTTTCCAGTTCTTAGATGTCATTAACAGAAATGGAAACATAGTAATTATCATGCTGGGACAGAACCTTTCAGATCTTCAAAATAGTTTATATTGAATTTCCCTCTGCTGTCATTCAGAAGAGTGATTATTGAATCTAATAAGGGACAGAGTTCAAGGGAGACTAGATTGGCACCTGCTTACAGCCAGATTTAAGAGTGCTCCTAGAAGCTGATTTTAAAGTCTAGCCAAATTTTATCCACACCTGGRCCTCACCTGGCAGGTGCTAAGCACTTGAGAAAGCATGGTCCTTCTTAGTATTCTTCACACCTTTCAAGTTTGTGGCTAAAATATTAAAGAGGATTGTTTTCTTTATTTTCTGTAAAGGAATCTTTAGAGCCTGAAGGCATCATATCTTACTCTTTTTTGATCAAATTGAATGCTTTCTTAAATATTCTCAACTTTTTTAATGGTTGCAAAAAAAGCAATGCTGTTTTTCAAGYGATGGTTTGGAAAAAAGTGCGCAGGGATTTTTTTTCTGTTGCGTTTCTAAGCCCACTTTATGGGAGAGCTGAACCTCTAATAAATAAGAGCCAGTTATAGGACAGCTTACGAAGCATGTGCTGTGTTCTATTCAGGATGCATTACAACCCCCTGGTGTTGCTGCAGCCTGAGATAGAGGAAATGCTGTCTGCCAGTTAATGCTATTTAAAGATTGTTCCTGTAAGCAGATTGAGCTTCCCAGTGTGGTGCTGCTTGATGGGGGCTGTGTATTGCAGTGGCTGTGGTTGTGGCAGGGGCTCCAAGCCTGGAGCATCCTAAAACTTCACTGCACCATGGAATTATAATCACGGTGGTGATTATAACGCTGGAGGGAGTTTAATTTGCTGACTCTTAAAAAGCAATCTGATAATGAGTTTGGAGCCTGAGGATCCTGTTAAGGAGGTGGAGATGTTTTACTGACTCTCTTGCTCCATAATTAAAAAGCTGGTCCCTTTGGCTGGGCTTATGAAGAGGGAGGATGAGCTGAACTCTTTCTGGCAGGATTTTTTTTTTCCAATGAAGTGACATGTCTTGCAAAGGTKCATATGAATTGGAGAATAAAAGTCCTAAGGTAAAGATTTTTACCTTAGATCCCATAATAGGGAAAATTCTTGTGTGTGTGTTGCATTGGAACAAATTCACATTCAAGAAAAAAGTTTTCTGTGGATGCTGGAGAAATAGAGCAAGTGTGCTTGGCTGCTTAAAAGGGACCCAGATCATCCTGGATTCAGCTGCATGTTACAAAATGATGAGACCTTCCTGCTGGGTCAGAGATTGACAAGATGAGCTGGTTCTTGTAGACTTTAGAGTATCAAAGGTACTGCTGTTTATTGAGGTCAGAGTGCAGACTGAGGCTTAAGGCAGGATTGCCACATGCTGTCAGTGTGGCCAGAGGTTGGGATATTTCTGAAATGCAAGCAAGAGKGGCAAATGTTAGCATTTTAATGGCAGAGCTGGTAAAGTGTGAAGCCCCAAAARGGATAAGAACAGAGGGGACRAGTAGRTGGTGTTACTGCAGTKTTAGGCATGCTAGGCACATTCACCCTCCAYAGGGGGCAGTTCCAGTGTGTTTTGAAGTTAATAGGAATTTTTTCAAAGAAACTGGATCAGACTCATGGGTTTGTAAAACTGGTATTAATGAAAAAAAAATTAACAGCTTTCCTTGGTAAAGGATTGAGGACAGCAAAAGAAACAAAATGAGGTATATAGTGAATGGGTGAAGACAAGTAAGAAATCACATCAGATAAACAAATCTTCAGTGTCATTCATCATCTTGCTGCAGTGAATACTAATGGGCAAACAGAGGCTCATAACAGTGCACAAAGCACTGACAAGCAGCCAGGTATGGAAATCCTGTGCCAAATGAGCTGTGATTTTATATGCAGACTAATCAGTTTCAAAGATTATGGCAAAATAAGGTGGTATGGGAATCCAAATTTATGGAACAGCACTGTCAAATTAAAATGCTCTTTCTCTGTGCACATAATCCTGCAAATCTATTGCAAGAGACCCTGCACAAGGTTCTTACCAGCATCAGGTGCTGATTGTGCCCCGTGCTATACAAATGCACAGGGAGCAGTTTTTGCACTGGAAGAGTTTACACCCAAATTGAAAAATCAAAATATATCTGATCAGTGACCGTGTAGAGGGTGAGTGGCAGAGGCAGCGAGAGGAGCCTGCAGTGTTGCTGCTCCTCAGGTGAGGAACAAGCTGGGCTCTGGTGAAGCATGAACTGCTCAGCACTGCTGAGAGGGACAATGTGCTGGGCTCTGAGGCAGAGCCTGTGCCTCTACAGCGTCTGGGATAAAGCTGGGCATCCMCCTGGGGAACCTGAGTTATGTTTATGCCTCCTCTTCTAGCAGTATCCCACACAGGGAGAAACTATTTTCTCTGCAGATACAATGAAAAAACTTCCTTTCAGCAAAAGAAATTATCTAGAATAAATGGATGAGTCTTACTTTCTTGCTTAGTTGATGGATTGCTTTAAGTTAAGTTAATCTAATATTCTGCAGTGTGATGTATCTCTCATCTGAGAATTAATTTGCTGCTTTAATTTTTTACAAGGTGGAAATGTGATTCATTTGATTGTGGCTTCAAGTGAACTGTCCTCTTTCCAGGAGGGGAAAAAAAAAGGGGACTATGTGTACCTGTGTTGATCTGAGCAGTTAAATCCAGAAGAATTTATTGGAAAGAACTCACTGCACTGGGGAATGTACATTGATTTCATATATAGTACAGATTATCTTCTCTGCCTTTGAATAGGAGCAAAGAGGTATTTTGGTCTGGTTCAGAGGTCTAGTAGACACAGTTATTTTGGGAAACATCAAAAGATTTTTAGAAAAGGAACTATCATTTTACTTGCTCAGCACGAAACTTTTGTGACTGTGATGAAAATAAACCTAGCAGAACAGAAGGGAGAGTGGAGGAGTTGGAGCAGAGGGTGAGCCATGTCTGAGAGGAGAARCTGCAGCCTGTGGTCGTGCTTCAGTAAACTGCTTTGGGGAAGGATTGGCAATAAGCTGATCTGGAGATGCACAGTGAGTGCCATCCTTTCATGGGGACACATCACCACACAGGGAGCAGTGCACAACATGACAGCGCTCCCAGAGATGTGGCTGCGTCTCCCTGTGTGCTGCTCCAGCTGGGGGGAGCACATGAAAGATTTATTGCTGGCTGCAATTCACATTACTCTGGAGCACTTTGATGGGGAATCCATTTTACAAATACCATTATTGAGTTTAGAGGTAAGCTTCTGATTTAATATGAAAATCATTATTTATTATCCTTACAGGTAAAAGCACATAATTACAGCTGCCACAGTTCTGTCCAAAATTTCCTGAAAAGAAGCACCCACATGTCTTGTGCACTGGATTTACTCTACATGTTCCTGTACATGTGGGGTGTTATAGGAGCATGCTGTTTGTCCTGTATTTCTTGGTGTTTTACAATTCTCTTGTAACTCCAGGCATGAGCAGGCTACAGATATCACCAAATCCAGGACAAATTGCCATTATGTACATGGAGCACATGGTCCCTGTGTAGATGCTGGAGACAGAATTTATGCTTATCCAGGGATCATGTTTGGAGTTTTGGCAGTTTGGTCAGTTTTTTATTTTTTTATTTTTTTTTTTTTTTGACTAATCCTAATGGTCATATTCTCAGATTGAGTGGAACATTTCCTGATGGTGAAAAAAAGACTTGGTCAGTAAATGTATGAATCACTGCTGTCACTATTTGTTTTAAACTTTTTTCTTTTTTTTTTTAAATGCACTTTGTCTTGTCTACACATTAAAAGTCATAGCTTTATCAAACTGAGGCAGTGGTTCACTTTTACTTTAYTTTCAGACTGGCTCAAGTTGGAATTTTAATTAAAAGCAGCAATGTTTTTAATAGTGACAATCAGTAGTACTTCAGGTGTCCTTTTTGATACATCCATGAAGTATCTGGATCCTTCAAATTTATTTATTTTTMAGTAAATTTGTCTATCTGTATTCTCCCTTTTTGCAATTTTTATACACCACTTCTTGCTTTCTGTTTTTTGTGGTGCTGGTGCAATAAAAATATACATACACCCACAGATTTTTATGCTTTTTAGTACAGAATAAAAATACCAAATGGAAAGCATCAGATGCCTGTCAGCCTGAGTATCTTCAGCTGAGGAAAAAAACACCACCATATCCTGCCTTTCCCTTGACTTGCATTTCAAAGAAGCTTATCTGTATGGACAGAAACCTGWTGGAATTGAAGTCTGTGATTTTAGGAACCAGAAAGAAACTACCCTTATTAAGAAAAGGCAGGTGAAAAATATTAGTCATTTCAGCCCTCATTGCTCAGAGATGCTTCTGGAAAGCAAAGAAGTGACTAACAGGAATAGATGTGATAGTTTGTTATCCTGGCAGAATTTTACTTTAGTCTGGACACCTGATTGTGAAGATTCAGGTGTAGTAATGCTGCAAGGCTTTGGTTTCTTATTTTATGTGAGTCTCTTTTGTGAGTCCCACACTTTAATGTTTCTCAGAGTTTTCAAAACACTATTCCCACTCTTGTTTGGTGCTGGAACAGTGTCACAGAAGAAATGGTTTAATACTTCCCTTTGTCCCTGGAGTTCTGAGGCCTTAGTAATTAGGCAGGGGGTACTTGCAGTGAATTAGGAATCTGTGAATTGCATTGAGGCAATAAAGCCTGAGCAATCTCAGTGTGTATATTCCTGAGCTCTGCTCCATGGAGCAAGAGCTGGGACCTGTGTGACCAAAGGATAATTGTGAACCACTACAACCCTCTTTTATCTAGAAATCCTTTATTATCATGAGTGCAGGCTGGATTTCCATTCCTTGTTTCTCTGGCTGTAATGCATAGCATGGTAGAAATCCTTGGTTGACAGAGGT